CCCCCCCCCCCCCCCCCCCGCTGTCTACATTGGAACTAAACTCTTTTTCGTTCATATCTCCCGAAAAAAAATTGTTGTTTTGTACACCACCGTGGCCGTTACGTCTGGTGGTTGCCTCCGCACAAGGGACTTTTTAGGGCGCAAATAGGAAAAATTGTTTGTGGTCCTATCCTTTACTTTTTGAGTGAATGATAATGGCTCTCGTCACTTTTATGTTTTTTTGGGCCACACTAAGAATTCTGTAAATAATTGTATCTTGGATAAATTTTTTTACCGATGAGAATTTGTTATCTTCGTTAGGAAGCGAAGGCCAAGTGGCTCGTATTTAAATGTACTTTAGTAGGTGGAAGAATTATGCAACACAAAAAATGCTATTTAGGATAATAAAATTAAGTTGCACTCTGATTGATGGGTTTGTTTTGTCATTCTCGGCAGCGGCGACTAATCTGTAGGTTGCGCTCGCAATGCATGATTTCCAAGAACAATGTCAAACTGTTCCGTGTGATGCTATGTTTGCCCTTATTTTCTTCAAAACAATGTATAAAGATTCGGGTTTTGTGGTATCCCGAATAATCAAGGTCTTGGTGAGTGTTATCAGCCTCGGAACTTCGGCTAGGCTTATAACAATTACCTCGATCTTAATTATTCCGGATATCTAAAACATCTCAGACAATAATTGTTTAAAAGAAGTTTGTCGACCTGCAAGAGGTCTTCAGCCAAAATTTTTGGCAGTTATATATTTTTTTACCACAGGTAAAAAAATTCCATCCGTCAAAATTCCATCTGAAGTGAGTACCTCTGAAGCAAGTACCTCGCCCACTTTTAAAACAAACCAACTTCTATTGTAATCCTTTTCGGCGTCTGAACTGGGCCTAAAACAGTCAAATCCCTTCCCTGGTAAGTTATCACCCAAACTGTGACGACTTACGGGAGGTAGTTGCTTAAGAGAATCGAGCCACACCGAGTCTCTTGCAAGTGAAAAGAGGTCTTTGTGCCACATCTACTCTCTGGAAGAGAATTTATAGCATGCAGTTTACAAGTTTTGATATACCGTAAAATTCGGAAAATAAGCCCCTCCATGTATAAGCTCCTCCAAATATAAGCCCCCCAAACTCGTAACGCAAAAAACCCTCCGTTAAATTGCCCCTGCAAATATAAGCGCCCCGGGGGGCTTGTACTTGGAAATTGCCCTCAAATACAAAGTAAAACAAGGCAAAAACGGTAAATGTCCTTCTATTTATAGGGCTAGGCCAATCGATTTTGAAACGCAAATTTCCATCCGTAGATAAGCCCCTCCGAATATAAGACCCTCCAAAAATAAGCCCCTCAAAAAGGGCCTTTGAAAAAAATAAGCCCCGGGGCTTATTTTCGGAATTTTACGGTATGTATTTCCATTTTGTCCTTAAGTGCTCTTGGTATATTTTGAGTAGCATAGTACATAAAACGAACATTTAGATTAGAAAAATGTGTCAAGCGATCGCTTTAATACAAGAAGTTAAAAACAATGGGAAATTGTAAAATTTAAATAATCATCTCAGAAAGTGGTCTCGGTCGCTTACAAGACTGAGAGGGTCGTTTACGAGAAGTTCCACCCATACGGATTTGGCTGGAATATATTGGCGTTTCTGATCTGTGGTCGGTTATTGGCTGAGGTAGTTGGTTAAAAAAGGTGGTCGCATATGGAGGTTCGACTGTACTCACAACGAAGCAAACCCTAAAAACATTTTTCCAGTAGATACAACCTCGCGTAAGCTACCGTGACCACTTTTGGGCGGGGTTAAGGTTTTCTATGTTTTCAGTAGTTTTTAACCTCTTGTAAGCGACCAATTAACACATGGTCTGACCTGTTCGTTCGCTGTATGTACTACAACAGACCTCTTCAGCTTGTATGTTTAGTTTTCGCAATGTCGGCCATGTGATAATACTCTAGAGAACTGTTTCTTTCAAATTTCGTCTTATTTACCTGTATATGTACGTGTAATTTTTGACAACACAAAGGGCTAAATTCCCTTGAGACCTTCATTGAGAAAACAAAATATACATGCTAAAGAGGTCTACACTCAAAGAAAGCATTGTATCAGTGAAGATCTTTTAGTGACAGCATGAAACTACACATATCGTATCTTCAAAATTCAATGCAATAAACTTTCTTGCAAAATGTACATGTGTCCGGACCTCTTCTCGGAAGAGACCCCTGTGGATTAAGAAACAAGTAGTTTCTGATCAAACAAAGTTTCATGGACAAAAGAAATAGGCTGAGAACAAGCTCTTTATTTGGAAATAGCAACAGGCAAAGAAAATGTCAGTAGCTCTCCAGGCATGGTGTAGGATTAAAGAACGAATGAAAGAATAGATGATACAACAGAAACAATATCTCTGGCCATAAAACAAAAGAAGCTACTGCTTAAAGAGGCCAATGAAAGGTCCAGTCTGGAAGAGCAACTGTGCTACTCCAAGCAAAGAGTCATTGTGTCCTCGCAGGACATCATTCTCTTAGCTGAGAGGTTGAGGGGTCCTAGCACTAGGAAGATCCAAGCACCATGTTATCTGCCTTCGCTAGGAAGATCCTAGACCTTGGAACAAACTGAACAAAAATATCGGCGGTCGTTCATTGGGTAATCTTTAATGATCTTTAATTCCTTCTCTACTGTTAACCACACGGACCGAAATTTATGCATGTAAGCCCAACGAAAAGTTGTTGCTCCTTCTAGGATCTTCATGGTGCTAGGATCTTCACCCCCTCCATGTAAACAGCCTCTGAGAAACAGGCTACGAATTGCATTCGAGTTCTCTCCATTTTTTCAAGTGACTCCATTGG